AAAGACTCGGGGAATGAAAGTGAAGAGAGAGGCTGGAAGAACAAGCGGAACCTTGTTTTATTCCCTGTCTCTGTGAATCGGTTATTTTGGGTGGAATGATTTTGGATTCTGAGATGGGCATATTTGAAATGGCGGAGCGTTTCGCACTGAGAGGTATAAAGACGAGACATTACCAAGGAATGCCAGTGTAGCCATTTTCGAGGGTCTTTTTGTGTGGGAGAGGCTGCATTTCCACTTATTTTGAAGTAACATATGTCCACACGGTCATTCACATATCACAATTAGGCATTTAGACATATAAGCTTTGTGGAAATTTCAAAGGCAAAGGTACAAACCCCATTTTTTTCCTGGTTTTTTTTTCGGGGGGGGGGGAGGTTACAGAATTTGGGGAAGAAGTGAAATATATATACAACTCTTTTTTATATAAGAACATAAGAGAAGCCAATGTTGGATCAGGCCAATGGCCCATCCACTCCAACACTCTGTCACACAGCGGCCAAAAATACCAGGTGCCCTCAGGAAGTCCAGCAGTGGGGTCAGGACACTAGAAACCCTCCCACCATTCCCCCCAAGCCCCCAAGCACTAAGAATACAGTGCATCACTTGCCCCAGCCTGAGAGTTCCTATCTATACCTTGTGGCTAATAGCCACTGATGGACTTCTGCTGCATATGCTTATCTAATTCCCTCTTGAAGCCGTCCATGCTTATAGCCACCGCCACCTCCTGTGGCAGTGAATTCCATGTGTTAATCACTCTTTGGGTGAAGAAGGACTTCCTTTTATCTGTTCTAACCCGACTGCTCAGCAATTTCATGGCGTGCCCACGAGTTCTGGTATTGTGAGAAAGGGAGAAAAGTACTTCTTTCTCTACCTGCTCTATGCCATGTATAATCTTATAAACCTCAATCATGTCACCCCTCAGCCATTGTTTCTCCAAGCTGAAGAGCCCCAAGCGTTTATCAGTCCCAGATTTATTTTACTGCCTCTTAACAACATAAAATGCATCCAGGTGGGTAGCCGTGTTGGTCTGAAGAAACAGAACAGTTTGAGTCCAGTAGTACCTTTAAGCTTTTACCCAGAATAAAACTTTGTTGGTCTTAGAAGGCGCTAATGGAAATGCAGCCTTTTAATATATTGGCATATAAATCTGTATGATGAGGCGTATTTGCCTTCGCTTGGATGGTCCAGGCTAGCCTAAACTTAAAAAACTTAAAGCGCTTAGGGCTCTTTAGCTTGGAGAAACGACAACTGAGGGGTGACATGATCGAGGTTTATAAGATTATGCATGGGAAAGAACAGGTCGAGAAAGAGGTCCTTTTCTCCCTTTCTCACAATACAAGAACTCGTGGGCACTCCATGAAACTGTTGAGCGGTCGGGTTAGAACGGATAAGAGGAAGTACTTCTTCACCCAAAGAGTGATTAACACATGGAATTCACTGCCACAGGAGGTGGTGGCGGCTACAAGCACGGACAGCTTCAAAAGGGAATTAGATAAGCATATGGAGCAGAGGTCCCTCAGTGGCTATTAGCCACAAGGTATAGCTAGGGGCTCTGGGGCACGTGATGCTCTGTCTTCTTGGTGCTTGGGGGGGGGGGTCAACAGTGGGGGGGCTTCTAATGTCCTGACCCCACTGGTGGACCTCCTGATGGCACCTGGTATTTTTGGCCACTGTGTGACACAGAGTGTTGGACTGGATGGGCCTTTGGCCTGATCCAACATTGGCGTCTCTTATGTTCTCTTATGTTCTTAACTTGTTAGATCTTGGAAGCTAAGCTGGGTTGGCCCTGGTTAGTAATTGGATGGGAGACCACCAAGGAAAGTGGCTGCGTGGAGGCCGGCCATGGCAAACCACCTCTGAATGTCTCTTGCCTTGAAAACCCTTTGGGGTTGCCGTAGGTCGGCTGTGATTCGATGGCACTTTCCATCATCATTTGACATATTCATGGCATTTAGAAGTATCAACACCTTCGTTTCCTATAAGCAAAAAGCAGAAAGGTACCCGATACTTGAGAGAGAGAGAGAGAGAGAGAGAGAGAGAGAGAGAGAGAGAGAGGGAAGGAGAGAGAGAGAGAGAGAGAGAGAGAGAGAGAGAGAGCTGCGAATTTGTGCACCTTGTTCCACCTTAGCACTTGTACCTTAGTTTTTTTCCCCCATCAGAGATGTTGGGGTGGAAAATAAAACGTGGAGAACAGAAAACACAGATTTTATTTTATTTATTTATTTATTTACTAGGAATAAAGCCCGTTGTTGAAATAAATACAACGAGATCTAGAAAGAGGCTCTGGGAGAGTGCTCTGGCTTTGGGCAAACAGTGTCAATTTGCTGTGGTGACCTCAGCAGGGTATTAAAACATGAACCTGGGACCTGCACACCACCAGAATACAGCAGGTTCCATATGCAACTGACATTCCAACTGCCTTGCGGGGGGGGGGGGTTGAGGTGTGGAATGGAGTGAAGTCCAATCAGCTTCCATATGCAAAAGACCTTGAAACGCTGGGCGGGACTGCACAAAGCAGCCAGTCAACCCAGCCAGCGTCTTCTGACTGACAGTTCAAGCGTCCATACACTAAAGGTGTGCATTTGGAATGTTGGAGCCGACTATGGCTTTATATATAAGGGAGAGATTTGATTTGTATCCCGCCCTCCCTGCCAAGGCAGGCTCAGGGCGGCTTACACACAATATGTTAAAACAACTAAAACACAGAATTAAATAAAACCACAACAGTATAATAATAAGACATATCATAAAGTGCCAGTGCAATTCACAGACGATTGGCGGCATTCACGGCATCCGAGGTAGTCAGCTACCGTTGTAGTCTGGGTTTTAACAGGCTGTTGATCACAATGTTTCAGTTGGTGTTGGTATTGGGATCAGGGCCTCATTGTTGGAGGGGGCGGCTCCGTAATCGAAGGCCTGGAGGAAGAGCTCTGTTTTAGAGACCCCGCAAAACTGTAAGAGGTTAAATCAAAGAAGTGGGTTGCATCCTATCAGCTTGCCCAGTTCAGCTCCTTGCTGGTACCCAGGGCTTTTTTTGTAGAAAAAGCCCAGCAGGAACCCATTAGCATAATAGGCCACACCCAACAACAGAAACTCATGAGCATATCCAGCCACACCCCTGACAGCATAGCTCATTAGTATATTAAGCCACACCCCACATTACCAGAAGTGTGGTCATCCAGCCACCCCCACCTTTTGCTTCTTATTCTGTTTACCTTGTTTGTTGTCAAAACCCAGGGCCTTTTTTTGTAGCAGGAACTCCTTTGCATGATAGGCCACACACCCACACAGCCAATCCTAATGAGTTTCTGCTGTTGGGTGTGGCCTATTATACTAATGAGTTCCCACTGGGTGTGGCCAACTTGGGAGCCAGCCGGAACTCCGTTCCTGTGTGTTCCTGCCCAAAAATAGCCCTGCTGGTACCTAAGTCTTATGTTGTTTTTGTTCGTGTAAGTCATACGATCCCCCAGAGTAGCCTTTTTGGCGATCAAAAGGTGTCTCCTTCTTCCTGATTGGTTGATAGGATTCTGTCAAGTTTGGGGCTCAAAGAGGAACTGTCTCTCATTAGAGTCACAATAGGATAGCTGAGTATATGGATTGTGAGTTAAACTTTACAACATGAACTACTCTAGAAGAAGAAGAGTTGGTTTTAAACCCCACGCTTCACTACCCAAAGAGTCTTGCAGTGGCTTACAATCACCTTCCCTTCCTCTCCCTGCAACAGACACCCTGTGAGGTAGGTGGGGCTGGGAGAGCTCTGAGAGAACTGTGGCTGACCGAAGGTCACCCAACTGGCTTCTGCTCCATATGCTTGAGAGCCAGTTTGGTGTAGTGGTTAAGTGCGTGGACTCTAATCTGGGAGAACCGGGTTTGATTCCCCACTCCTCCGCTTGCACCTGGCTGAATGACCATGGGCAAGCCATAATTCTGGCACAGCTGTTCTTGAAAAAGAGCAGTTTGTGTCAGAGCTCTCTCAGCCCCGCCCACCTAACAGGGTGTCTGCTGTGGGGAGGGGAAGGGAAAGGAGTTTGTAAGCTGCTCTGAGACACCTTTGGGTAGTGAAGGGCGGGGTATGAATCCAGTCTCTTCTTCTTCTTCCTCTTCATGTGGAGGAGGAGTGGGGAATCAGACCTGGTTCTCCAGATTAGAGTCCGCCGCTCTTAACCACGACACCAAACTGGCTTTCAGAACATTTTGATAACATGCACTATAATGGAGCTGCCCTGAAGACAGAGGACAGTCATGTCAGTCTGTCGTAGAAGAGCTAGACTGGAGCTCGGTAGCACCTTCGGGTCCAAGAAGATTTTTGGGGAATCAGTTTTCAAGAGACAAAGCTCCGATTGTCAGATACTACTGTGAGCAATTGCAAGGGGGCGACCATCAGGGCAGGAACGCACAGGAACGGAGTTCCGGCTGGCTCCCAAGTTGACCACGCCCAGCAGGAACTCATTAGCACAATAGGCCACACCTAACAGCAGGAACTCATTAGGATTGGCTACATTAGGGGTGTGTGGCCTAACATACAAAGGAGTCCCTGCTACAAAAAAGCCCTGGGTTTGGACAACAAACAAGGTAAACAGAATAACAAGCAAAAGGTGGGTGTAGCTGGATAACCACACTTCTGGTAACATGTGCTAATGAGCTGTGCTGTCAGGGGTGTGGACTAATATGCTAATGAGTTCGTGGTGTTGGGTGTGGCCTAATATGCTAATGAGTTCCTGCTGGGCTTTTTCTACAAAAAGAGCCCTGGGCGACCTCATGTGCTGGCTTCAGGATTTACCATAGCAATTATTCTCTAGTGTTTACAGCATTAGGGGCAGTCCTCGTTCGTGGCTTTTGCTTTGGCGATTCCGTGGTTCTGCTGCAGGCATGGGTGGAAGTGCTCTCTCCTTTCTGCCCTGGCGCATGCATCCTTTTTCTCACTCTCTCAGCTAGGTCGTTTTGGTAGTTAGCAGAGATTCAAGGGTCTGTGATAATGTATTGTATTGCTTGCTCTGTAGCTTGCAGAACTGTGAGTCTGGCATGCTGACAAAGATGAACCGACGGTGTTCATGACCATCGGACCGTTTGCTCGCGGTTTGTGGTTTGACGCATGGCTTCTCAGGACATTCAGAGTTTCTTCCAGCCCCTTTCCTCCTGGATGTCTCGGATGTATGAGGCTGTCCAACAAGCCGGTGACGCCTTATCATCTTCCTTGGTCAGTCTGGGAAGCAAAGAGGAGCAGCGTGCCAACAATGAGACGGACGAGGAGTTAGAAGGCAGCGATGGACCTTATGAGCGTTACTCTGAAGGTTCGGAGGACGAAAGCATCTCTAGCCAAGGGAGCGAAGGATCGGATCGCTTTTCAGCATCTGGTTGTTGTGACCCTACCTCACGGAACTCTTCCTGGAGAGAAGTGGGAGAAAGGAGGAGCCTCGTCTTCTCAGAATGTCTCGATGAAGATTCTCAGACCTGCCATGGAATCCACCAAAGTTACAAGGGCCACCAGCCTATGGAGACTCTTCCCACCATCCCAGAGGAAGAGGAGCACCTCCATTCCAAGCAGAGTAAGACCTTTCCACTCAACTGGGATGATCAGAGATCTCGTTTGGTAGAAAAGAACAGTGGACATACCAATATGGCGGGTAAGTTGATGTCCTCGGCAGCAGCACTCATACTTTACTATGGCTTTTAGGTTGAATTCCGTCCACCACTTTGTATCACCACCTTTCCCTATGGAATCCCTGAACTGGTAAATCTATGCAATGTGCTTAATGGCTCCCATGCGTTGGCAAATCTGTATTTTTTTTATATCAGCTGAAATTGTAGCAGCCATGAAGTCCATTGAATTAGGCAGTCCCGCCCAAGTCCACTGTCTCGCCCTCCTTCTAAGAACATTCCTTACAAAAGGCCTTGAAGAACATTCATTTGTTCATTTAGTTGTGTTTGTCATGTCTCAGGTCCCCAACGTGGTGCCCGCCAATAGCTTTCCTGGTGCCCGCCATGTGCTTTTAAAAAGTGGGTGGGGCTCTTGCTCAGCAGGGATCCTGATTGGCTCTGCAAATTAAAAAGCATCCCGTCAAACAGAGCTTCAACGTTTCAGGCAGAAGAGGTACTACTAGAGTTATATACAACCTTGCTCTCTGGCGTTCTGTGGTTGGTTCTGCCTCCCGCGGCAGCCATTTTGTGATTGGCTCCGCCTCCTGTGGTAGCCATTTTGTGGCTGTGCCCGTTGCCCTGTGCCAGAATTCCAAAGGTGCTTGCAAGCTCAAAGGGGTCTGGGGACTCCTGTGTTATATAAATACTAGCAGTAAAGCCCGTTGTGAAAGCAATACAACGAGATCTAGAAAGAGGCTCTGGGGCAGTGCTCTGGCTTTGGGCAAACAGTGTCAATTTGCTGTGGTGACCTCAGCAGGGTATAATGACAGAGTCCACTGTTTTCTCCAGAGGAACTGATCTCTGCTACCTGAAGAGCAGTTGTAATTGTGAGTAATCTGTAGCCCTCACTTGGAGATTGGCAACAATTGTTACTCAGGACAAAATGGCTGGTTTGGAGGGTGGAGTCTATAGCATTCTACCTGTCTGAGATCCCACCCCTCTGCAAACCCCACCCTCTCCAGGCTCCACCCCTCAAATCCCCAGGAATTTGTCAGCATGTAGTTGGCAACCCCATCTCCTTCCCAGCTAGCCACCAACCTACCATTATCTGCCCCTTTGACTTCAGCTGACTTCTGCCCTCCCTTCTGCAGAGCAGTTGTAATACTGAGTGCTCTCCAGCCCTCACCTGGAGATTGGCAACAATGGTTCCCTATGTGAGACTGACTGGTTTGGAGGGTGGAGTCTATGGCAGTGTACCTGTCTGAGGTCCCACCCCTCCTCAAACCTCACCCTCTTCAGGCTCCATCCCTCAAGTCTCCAGGAATTTCCCATCTGGAGTTGGCAACCCTATCAGGACTGGCCCCAATGTGTTTTCTCCCAAAGGCCAAAGTAGGTGACAGGACCAAGCTTAGTTGCCTACCAACAGGCACTGAGGGGAATGTAGGGTTGCCAGCTCTAAGGAGGGAAATACCTGGAGGTTTGGGGGGTGGATTCTGTAGAGGGCCGGGCGACGGAGGCATCGGCCTTCTGTCGCCCGCCTTGCCCCCCCAATCTCGGCCCGGGCACCCGCGGCTCCCACCAGCGGCCGCCCGACTCCAGACTCCCCCGCGGCCACTCCAGCCAGGCGACGGAGGCATCGGCCTTCCATCGCCTGCCTCGCCCCC